CTGGGATTGTTATATGCTCTTTATATCGCATATGATATACTAACTTATGAAAGAAAACATCATATTTTTCGATAATTGGGATAAGTACATTTAAATGTTTTGTAAAATCAGAACATATGGACTTTTTTATCTCTTCATCTATCAAAAGATTATCATTTTTAGTATATGCTTTGACATACTCTATAAATTTTTCCCATAATCTCAAAACAGGGTCACTTATCTTAAAGTCTTCAAAGTTTAGCCATTCTCCATGAAATATCTTGTAGGTATTACCTATATTCTGATGTAATATAGCTTGTGCAGTCTTGACTGCCTTTTTATAGGCACGTTTATAGGCATACTCACGATTAGCTATTATTTTAGAATCTATTCCATTTTTCTCCTTAATATATGACTCAAGCCACTTCTTGGCCTTATTTTGGGCATAGATATCAATTTGTTTATACTTCTCATCGAAATCTGTAAGTTGTATAATTTTGTTAGTAGATGGGGGCTCATGTCTTTTATCACACATTATAAATTGGACGCAAAGTCTAGTAATAGTATTTTCAAAGTAGTGAGATAAGTCTATGCTTCTACCAAGTTCTTTAGCCACATCTACGAATTCCATCTGATCTGATTTTCTCAGCTTAAATTTTTTACTAGCTAGATCAAAGATTCTATCAGGTTGGATGTTCACCTGGATCTGGAATCTTATTTTCGTATTCTTTTCTCATCCGTTTTATAAAATTTTGAACACATATATTATTTTTATTAGGTTTCCATATGGCAGATTCTATAAATTGATCGAAATTCTATTGTCTAGAATTAGTTATAGCCTCTTTGAGAACATCTTCAACAATTTCATGGAGAGTTTGATTATTGTTAATATCCATCGCCCCGATCTCTTATGGTTCTAAAAAGTTGGGATTTACCTTGCTTCACCATTTCAGAAGAAGCAAAACTTCGATGCTCTAAATCATCCAGTAATGAGATTTGTAAAAAGAGTTCTTGTAATAGTATTGTTGAGAAACCTGTAATAAATTTGTCACAATTGCCTTCTTTAGTATTAACTCAAAATTAATCAAATAATTCTGAACAATCCTTAGACATAATATACCCACCTCTGGCAATTTCTCTATCTTCAGAATTTCTCATTAAAAACGAATCTGATTAGTGTTACAAATCAGACCAAAAAATGCAATCGATTAGTTGGTCAAAAATTTTTTAAAAAATCGATTAAAAATCGATTATAGTCGACTAATC